CGTGCCCCAGGGATTAGGGCTGACTTCATCTTCCCCCTAACTATGTTCAGTTCATAGAGGATCTCCTCTGCTACATGGCTTTAAATACCACCTCTACTTTTTGTCCAGATTTGTATCTCCATACTGAGTGGCTCTTATGCTGGGCCCCTGTTGTGAAACCAAGATCCAGGTTCCATCTTGCTCCACATTTATGTTGAGTGGGTTTCTCTTTTATTTCTCTGTTGCTTGATGCCTTGTTGGTTTCCTAGCACAAAGGGTTCTGAACTGGAGATCTGCTGACAGACCTTCCTAATACTGCCTACCTGTGTAGGTTGCTTAATATTATCTAAGGAGGAGGAGGAGGAGAAAGAAAATCTGCCACCAGCCTGGTGCCCTGAGCAAACACTGGCCCTATTTGGCCCTTAAATGTCCTGCCTTCCACTGTTTTAACTCCTGCTGGGCCTTTACCTCTCCCATGTACAGTGACTTCCTCAGGCAAGTCTTCCTGGAGGCCCAGAGCCCTCAGTCTACAGTTTTCTTCGTCATAGGCATGTGCTTCCTTCCAGACTGTACCTGGTTCAGGACAGTCGTCTTCCTTGAGAGGTACTCTCCATCCTCAGCACTGTATCCCAAAGCTCAACATACACCTGACGCAGCAATGTAGCACTTCACACCAATGTGTTTGAGTAAACGTCTAATCGATGCTTACCCCAGTCTGAAAAGACTTTGGCCAGGCCCATTCAGTCTTCCAGGGGCAAAGCCTGGACCAGCACCACTAACTTTTGCTGCAGGGACTCTTTTAATCACCTCCCAGAGCTGGCCAACCCCCTTCTGAGTCATGCATTCTTTCTTTGCATGTGTTAATATATTCTTAGGCCCTGGAGGCCTAAGAAAGCTGTGTATCTATGCTCTATTTCAGTCCACATTGTTTTTAAAGTTTTGCTCTCAGTGGGCATCTTATTTCCCTTGTTTCCATTGTCTGGCAGGGGTGAGGTACAGGAGGGCTAGCTCTTTCTATCTCTTTATTACTGTCAACACACCTGGACCAGGATTCTATCTATCAGTGGAGACACCCTGGTGTTTTGTATCAGGTGAGTGTGTGCTCACCTTCCCACGTGAATACTCCACTTTCCACACTGAACTTCTCCTAAAGCCTGAGCTGGGTCTGCCCTGCCCCCATGGGCCTCTCCCAGTTGACTCGCCTTCCTAGCAGGGTCCTAGATAGAGCCCAGCAGATACTCTTATGGTGGGGTGGGGGGCAACTCCAAGTGTGTTTTTCAATAAATGAAGAATACAGCACTGCTTTGGGGATTAATTATTCTGTCTTAAATGGAAATATCAAAACTGATTCAAGAGTGATATACACAGAAGTTATCATTACCGGCACATATTTGCACTGTACAATGAGACAGATGCAAATCCCCAAGTCAGTACCAGGTAAAAGCGACCACAGTTGTAGCGTTTCATTCCAGTTCTTACAAAGCCTCTATCAGAAAGACTAAATTCTATGTTAGCAAAAATAATTGGTCTACAACCCATTCTGAAACCCGACAAATGTGAAAAGCATTGCCCTGGGTTTTCATACTATTTCCATGATGTAGAGATCTGGTTTAGGCCAGAGATGTATGTGCAAATGCCACAAGAAAGGACTGGTCCAATGCAATGTGGAATTTAGCAGAAGGTACGAAAGAACACAAAACTCAGGTTGAAGAAAGCCTCTCCCCGGGGTATTTCTCAGCCTTTATTTTTACCCCAGATCCAAGACTTGTGGTTAATTCAGATAAGCACTTGACCTTTGTGGGTGCTTATCCAAAGTCAACCTTCCCGTGTCTGAGGGTCACCTGTAACTCATTAATCTCAGTCCATTATTGTTTTGCAGGGATGTCTGTTCCATTTAAGATATAAAACTCCTATACAGATAACATGGTAGGTTAATGCACTCACCTTTCATTCCCTGATTGCTGGGTTCACACCAAACTCAATTCTGTTATGAGTAAGGATTACGTTTTGATATGTTCCCATCCCCAGGAGCCATTTGTCCGTAGGTCTTCACATCCTAAAAGGATGTTGCAGGCATCAGCATACTCTTTGGGGCCCTATACAGGAGATTCCCGGGACTAGAATGGCCCAGAGGTTACTGGGTCAGGGCTGGGGAGGAAGAACTATTTAGGGAATCTTGCTGAGTGCATGCTTCTGAGGGTGCTATCAGACTTTTGCCACTCTCAACTCTGAAGATGAAAACTAGGCCATTATCATTTTTCAAAAAAATAATAAATTGCTTTATATAGAACCTCGTACTGTGGTGCTGTCCTTCCCTCCCCACAGCAAGAGACGTGCCAGCAGGCAGTCAGGGAAAAGGCACAAACTCTTTGCAGTTTTTTTTAAACATCAACCTTTTCAAGCGTCCTCTTGTTTATGATTTAACTTCATTCCCTCTTCCATTAGGAAATGCAAATCTATGTCCATCACCTGTCGCAAAACCCGAGATGTAAATCTAGAAGACAATGACAGCTCAGCCTCTAAGGTAGGATGGCGTAGTGGATGGCGCTGGAGCCAGTCAGCCCAGGATAGAATCCCGAGCCTGCCACTTAAAGCCTTACCCTCTCCCTCAGGTTCATAGCTGTAAAATGGAAATAATTAGAGCACCCACCGCAGACAGTTATTGTAGGAATCAAATAAGATAATGACATGTAAAACACTCAGAACAGTGTCTGGCGTATATCAGGGGCTCTGTAGGTGTTAGCTGTTTGGGTACTTAAATGCTCTGATCCACGCTATAGAAAATAAAAAATAACTCTTAAAAAAAAAAATCTGTGGCTTCCTCTCCAGCCACCTGACAGGTGACTGAATCCCAAAAGAAAGTGTCTGGTTCTTTCTCTTTTGCAGGGCCACACCACTCTCCCCCATGCCCTTGAATTCCAGCCAGTTAAAGTACAAGGGAGTGGTCGAGGCGTGAGGATGGTACGGCCCAAACTGCCTCCCTTCATTAATTTCCGCCAACCCCTGCTGCTGGCCACGCTGCCACCGCCTCAATTACCCTCGGTGCGAACAACGGAAAGCAGCGCACAAAGGCTTCCCCTTTACAGCAAGAAAAGGAAAAATGTACTGTCCACGCGTATTACTCGTCAATATAAATGCTTTCAGGAGCCCTTCGCGGCTTCTTTCATGTTCTTCAAGTCTAAGAACCATTTAGAGAAGCCCCGCTGTTCTAGCACCCCAAGGACATGTGAGAGGATGCGCGCAGGCGGCGGAGAAACAGAGCTTCTATTTGTGTGGAGCAAGGCAGGCCTAGATCTCTGACTAACAATAAGCGGAATATCTTAATCGCGAGCTTTCTGAAGTCACGCCAGGTGGAGTGCTCAGTGTTTGCCCATATATCAGGGGCTCTGTAGGTGTTAGCTGTTTTGGGTACTTAAATGCTCTGATCCATGCTATAGAAAATAAAAAATAACTCTTAAAAAAAAAAATCTGTGGCTTCCTCTCCAGCCACCTGACAGGTGACTGAATCCCAAAAGAAAGTGTCTGGTTCTTTCTCTTTTGCAGGGCCACACCACTCTCCCCCATGCCCTTGAATTCCAGCCAGTTAAAGTACAAGGGAGTGGTCGAGGCGTGAGGATGGTACGGCCCAAACTGCCTCCCTTCATTAATTTCCGCCAACCCCTGCTGCTGGCCACGCTGCCACCGCCTCAATTACCCTCGGTGCGAACAACGGAAAGCAGCGCACAAAGGCTTTCCCTTTACAGCAAGAAAAGGAAAAATGTACTGTCGACGCGTATTACTCGTCAATGTAAATGCTTTCAGGAGCCCTTCACGGCTTCTTTCATGTTCTTCAAGTCTAAGAACCATTTAGAGAAGCCCCGCTGTTCTAGCACCCCAAGGACATGTGAGAGGATGCGCGCAGGCGGCGGAGAAACAGAGCTTCTATTTGTGTGGAGCAAGGCAGGCCTAGATCTCT